GTGTATTGGGAATCAGCGAATCCCTAGGAATGGTGTACATCTGATAACGTCTGACACAAGCATGCTTGTAGACAGCATTTTCTTTTAACAGCATCATACTGGGCATTCATTGGAATACATGGTGGCAGGGGTGCTTCTTATAGGAATTACTGTGTTAATTCCATTAGGAGAAAAACATTTTTTGTGCCATTTATTTTGTAACTTAAGATCAGCATTCCACATTTGCAGAAGGCTGGTAGAATTTTCAAAGTAATAAATCAAGGGAGTTTTCTTAATACCTACAGAAATAAATGTGTCTTCCAGAACTATTCAATAAAACTCAATTTACATATTTTCTGTATGTGTAATCTATGTGACCTTCAGTAACTGTTTGTTTTTTTAAATCTAAAAAATGCCTTTAAAGTGTAATAGCCCAGAGTTTCAAATAGTGCAGCAGGATATGTAATGCATATTTTAACATGTTTTCTTTAAATTTGTCACACAGACTTGTTGTGCATGATTATGTAAAAGTCCATATTTTTAAAGCCAGTAGTACAAGTGTGTGATGTACTTGGATGGGCTGAAAAATTCAGAAGTCTAATTTATCTTGAGATATGCTCAGTCAAGTAGTTTTTCACAGCAGTTAGCTAACACTTCAAGCTCTAACAGTGCCCCTGAGCCATAAAAGAAATTTGCATGGAAGAAAATGTTTTGAATCTATTAAAACCTCAGCTCAGAGCTAAAGAGTTTCTCTTATGTCTTTGTTGACTAACATGAAGTGAGATCTTACAAAAAGCTAGGCTATGATCGACAGATGCCAAATCTTAGGTTATGATGTGATTATGTATTTCTTTCATGCACGGTGGTTGAATCTGGGACTGGAGTTTCAGAAAGACAGCAATCAATGGGTCTGTGCAAGAGTACACAAAATATATTACTCCTGGCAGTCGTCAAGGCAAAATTATTCAAAAAATAATCTGAAATGCATTTGATCATACACTAGAAGTTTTAATAATTTATATTATACCTTATTAGCAAAGTCTTGTGTTTACTTTGTGACTGCCAAAACAAGATGAAAGGCTGCCTCCATGGAAATACAAGATGCTTAGCTCAAAGTCTCTGTCTTCAGTTTGGTAATTTCCTTTCCTCCCCTCATTTTGATTAATAGTATATAGTTTCAAATCTTAGAGTACCTTTTCCTTCACTGTGGTCCTGTTTAGTGGGAGCAGTGCTTAACAAGTCTACCAAAGAGTTTGTGGCCTATCGAGACTGAAACTAGTATAAACACATGTTTTTGAAACTTCTTTACCTTAGGGCTTCCTCCAAGCATTTTTCTTTTTGTTAAAAAACTTTTAATTTAGTTCTAAATTCCACTGAAATGAGTCATTATGGTAATCTTTCTAACTCTTGCAGCTATAAAAGTGTGATTTCTGAGCCCAGCTTAAGGAACTGTTACACTCTGACTGGTGATTGTATGTGGTAAATATCACAGCTGTATCAGTTCAGAATATTACAGAAATGACTTAAAGATTTCCTTGGAAAGCTAAGGCACTGTGAATGTTGTATCTAGAGACAGAGATACAAATAATCTATTAAGTGAGAGACTGGAGAGTGGACCTGTGTAAATGCTAGTTCAAAAAATTAGATCTTTACCTCCACCAAGGTTTTTTACACCAAAGGTGCATAGAATTATATATACAGTGTTTTTCACTAACACAGCTGTTTATATGATACTTGTGTGCCTAGAAGAACTGCTTATATTCTTAACAGGCCCTTCACTGTTGTCCAGACTGTGGCATGGGCCACTCAGCCCTTACTCAGGAGGGAGAGGGTGCAGAGCTCCTCTTGCCACTGGGGAATTTCTGCCACGTCTCACTGAGCTTGCACGACAGACTGAGGAAGAGGCATCCACCTGCAGGTGTCTCTGAGTGATTATCCTGCATTTAAAAGCTCTGTATGAATCTCAGGATGGGGACAAAAAGACTGTTATTTTCTACAGGAGCCTTTCTGGCACAAGGAGCCAGATGTACCTTTTTTTTATATACAAATGCATATTCTGTGATTCTGCTCATGTGTCAGGCAGAATTTTGGGCCAAACTAGAGAATAGTGCGTAGGAAACAGGGATCAGATGAATACATGCTTTACTTTCCTTGAAAGGGAATATTTGGCAGGATCACCTGAAGAGGTGTACATTATCAAACACAAACACAGCATGTTTCAGTGGTAAGCTGTGATGTATGTCTTTAAGAAAAGGGTCACTTTGGTTTGCAAATTGAGATATTTTTGTCTTTCTACTGAAATAAAACAAAAAAATGCATTTAGTGTATCAGTATGGTCATCTCATTTATTGGAAATACGATGAAGTAAGGAAAAAACCAGATTTCACAGCTGTACAGGCTGACTTAGATGAAAAGCTACTGGGACAACTCACCAGCAGCGTTCACCACCACTGGAACTTTGTAAACCTTGCTAAAATCTCTTGTGCCATTCTGTCCTACTAGCAGCATGCAGCACTACTGAATGCATATGCAGTGCATGTTGCAGTAGAGGTGTAAGAAAACAGTATGGTAACAAAAAAAAAGCAGTATAGGCTGTGTATGATCAAAATTATACCAGCAAGATGAGACTCTTTGGTTTTATGCTGGAAAACAGGAAAACAGTATAACATAAACAAAATGCCAGTGAAACCACTACTGTAAACTATGTTACAGAAACATGATTGAATGCAGGGAACGCTGACGTGCTTAACTGTTAGTGAAGGGGAAAAACATAAAGGAAGTCTCTCAAAACATTTTACAACTTCTAATTTGTGTTTGGGGTGTTTTGCTGCTGTCCCTAGTCTTCCTGAGACATGTAGATAGGAATTGAAGCTAAGCATGAAGAGGAGCATTGAGGAGAAGACCCAACATCATTTATGAGGCACTAGCCCTTTTTATCTGTTTGCCAAGGGATAGCATCTAGTCTTGTATGACTAAATAACCATGACTTTTATCATGCAGTGTAGAAATATTTAATTAGGAGTCAATAGGCTGATTGTAGTCAGCCAAATTTTAAGTCATGAATCACTGAAAAATACATATCAAAAGAAATAAAATTTTAATTGTAATGATATTTTTACATCCTTATCCATTCCTTTAAATTGCTTTAGCCTTAGTGTTAAATGTACCAACAATACATGTAAAAACAAGTCATTACCATAAATTAAGCACCTTACATTTGTAGAGATTTGTGAGACCTGCAAAGAAAAGAAAGGCTTTGTAAGTGTCTAGAAAAAATGAATTGCAAAAGAATTTTGACTAATTTGTAAAAAATCCTTAATACTGTACATTTTCTAGTTTAATATTCACGCAAACATTAATCAGCTTTCATTTGGGAGGACAAAATAGCTCTGGCCAAGTATTAAATTTTCAGATGCCTTAGAAATTGTAATTAATAACTTAATAGTTTTTGATTAAGTTAACATGTTCTGCACAATATAAACTGAAGTTCTGGAATGGTGCTGTTACTGTGCCTCACACTGTGGGTAACCACACGCCGGTGTACTTAACCTGTTTCCTTTCCTCTGTTTACCCAGGTGATGTTCTTCTAGGTGCAGTATGTGTGAGAAGTCATCCTCATTTCATAGTTCACTTGATCAGTAACCCTTTGCCTGTGTGAATTGGGATCTAAGTCAGCAATAACTCAGCTGTTAGAATAGCACTTCTCCAGGCTGTCATTTGCCCCTTTGATGCTTACTTACCTAACCAGTAGTAATCATTATTTTCCTTCTACAATTACTATAATGGAGCTGATTGCTGAAATGGAAAACAGGAGGCAGTTACAGAAGGTTTGAATTGTGCTGTCACACTTTCATGGGCAAGGCACCATTCTTGGAGCTTTGATACTTCTTTGAGTTTTCCCAGAAATATGTTCAGTAAAAGACGGAGCGGGCATCTGGACTGTATTTTCATGTGGTCCTGTTTCAGCTTCTTGAAAATACAAGATTATCCAGATAGGTACTTTCTGGATCCCTGATTTGATTTATACACAATATGAAAGGAAAAAAAAATAAACTGGTTTAATCAAAAACCCTTTTTTAACTTGAGAATTTCAAACCAATTAAAAATCCAGCTGAACTCAATTGAATTCCCAAGAGATTGTTCAAATAGAGGGAGGAAAACAGAAGTTATCAACAGAAATACTGAATTTTATGATGCAGCATTGCTACACTTTTGTTTAATTACACCTTCACCACTCACATCTCTTGCAAATGTCATCAGAGTTTCACTGGATGTTTTTCCTTTTGAGTATCTACAATGCTGAACTGAACAAGGGTGAGGCAGAAAAGAGCCTTTTATTCTGTTCACTTGGATTTTCTACTGAAATAGTGATGCAACATCTGTATCTTGTGCTGCAGTTAAAAGGCATCATATTCTTGGGGATCTTGGTGCTTGCAGTCAGGTTGGGAATGGTAATGGCAGGCACAGCAGGGAACTGGGATTCAATATGCTGAATGAGAAGGTGAGTGTTTTAGCACAGCTGCCTCCTGAGGGTCAGGGGAAAGGAAAAGCCCTTTGGGAGGATTTTCAAGCACCACTGAGCTGGCACACCAGGAGTCGATGATTGACTTTAGAAGATGCCTGCTGTGCAAAGGATTGAGTGTTGTGGTTCCCTTTATCACTGGTTAGGCATTTCTTTTGGAAAAGCCAAAAATCAGAAAGTAGTGAGATAGCAGCAAAGCAAGTAAAAAAATAACCATCAGACAACTGTCTCTGATGACAGTGAGGTCTGGAGATTTGTTTCTGTTGCTAACAGCTGCATTGATTTGGCAGTTAATTTCATTAGAAATACTGATTTTGTATGGCATTTATAAGATTCCTGTAAGAAAAACCAATGACCTGATGATGATGCAGTGCAGGTTGAATTGTTAGTCTTGAAAAGGACATTAATTTCAACCTCAGCATAAAGAGGAGACTGTATTTGGTATGTATAATCAGGAAGACATAACAGTTTCAATCCTAATGTGTGCATTTCTTCGCAGGAGTTCAGACGTTCACCACAGAATGGCACAAACTGGAAAGCACAGCCTTCTGCTGAGATCCCAGTGAAAACACAGCTCAGCTCCTGCATGGCTTTGCAGCTCCCATGGCAACAAGAGGGAGGTGGACTGAAGATCCTGTCTGTCAGCCTGGCTCTACTGGCAGTTCTTGTTATGTTTTACTACGGAGGAATGAAAACAGAACTGTGAACTGAATGGGGCTTTTATAAAAACAATGAAATTGCTGTTCAGAATCTTCAAAGGAAACATTTTTACCAACAATTTTTTTTAATTTTTTTTTTAAGGAAAAAAATGCTAATATAAATTGGGCAATAATTTGTACTCACTCTATGCCTTTCCTGTCATTCAAAGGAGAGAACATTAATAAGCTGTGGGAAGGTTTATCTTGCCAAAACCTGAGATCCTTGGTAGAACAGTTCGTTGCATATTTCCTTTTTTTTTTCCTGAAATTATGCAATGTTTGCATTGCATTCTCTTTTCCTAATTGCTGTATCAGATAAAATTGCATTGGGTTTATAAAGAGTCTTTCCATTGAGTGATATTGGTCATCTTTTATGGGTAGGATATTTAAAGCTTTCCTAAAGATTTTGCTTGATGCAGTGTGATCATTTGGTATCTGTCTTTTTACATTAGAATGAGCACTGCTAGGCCATTAAAGTTTGTTATTTGTTGCTATTTATTTTGATGTCATGTCTGAAAGAATTTTTGCCTGCCATCTTGCATCTCTCAACTTCACAATGAGCTATTAGGGTTTGTTAATACAAGAAGAATTATTTTTTACATAGAAATAGTTCTAAAGGTGTTGGGTTTTTATAATTGAATGGGAAGATGTCATTCTGGTGATAGAGTTCTGTTAAAAGATGGATTTAATACAGTCTGTAGATTTCATACAACACTTGGAGAACTACCTGGGAATCCCTTAGCTATGCATTGGCTCAATAAAACAATTCTTACTCCATTAGTGGGGAGGTTGCATTTTACACAGTGAATTTCTAATTTCTGCATTTTACACAGTAATTTCTAATTACTTTCTTCAAGCCATTTTTGTCATGACAGGATCTCCACACATCCTGAGGGTGTGCTGGTCAGTCAGGGACTGGACTTGTGCCGAGTTCTTCCAGCGCCTAACCGCATCATACTGTTGGTTCGTTCATGCCTTGTCACATTTCTGAACCTTCATCCAAACTTCCACTTGCAAAGGCTGTTTAAAATCATAACACAGGCATTGTTGAGGGTTTTTTAAATGTTTGTCTCATATCGCTAAGCTAAGCTAAGACGCTCCCTCACCACCCTGCGTTGGGGTGGGGGCAAGAATCAGAAGGGTAAAAGTGATAAAACTTAGGGGTTGAGGTGAAGACACTTAAATAGGTAAAGCAAAAGCTGCACATGCAAGCAAAGCAAACCAAAGAAATAAATAATTCATTACTTCGACAGGCAGGTGCTTAGCCATTCCCAGAAATGCAGAAGGGGCCTTGACTCTGTGTGAGCCCTGCTCAGCAGCAGCAAATCCAAAACATTGTCCCATACCAGTTGCAGTGAAGAAAATTAACTCTATCCCAGCCAAAAACAGGACATTGTCTCTATAGTGCTGAGGAATAACCCCCTAGTAAAAGTGCTTTGTACTTTATAAGTTGTGGATTCATAATAATAATAATAATAATAATAATAATAGTTACAATTAACTAGCAAGTTCCACCATAATGCTTTCAGCACAGCCTGTAAATTATAGCAACAGATGTAACTGTCTTCAGCAAATCAGGTGTGTGATGACTCGAATATGTTATTTCTTACAGCAACCACTGAAGGTCATAAACCAAGGCTCAAAATCCACGAGTTTTAAAAGAAAAAAAAAAAAAACCAACAAAAAAACAACCATGCCCTTAATTTGCTTCTGTTTGTTGGGGTACTTTTTTTCTCAGGCTTTTTTGTACAAGGAATATATACAATACATTGTACAACAAGGAATATATGACAATGAGTAATTTACATTTTTAACATATCTGAGAAATTCTCAAGAAAGACCCACCAACATGACTCTGGTAGTTGAAATTTTCAGGAAAGTACCAGAGATTCCAAAATTCTCAGGAAAAGTGTGGATTGGCAAAATCATTATATGTGAGCCAGATTTTTGTATGTGATGGGAATAATCTATGCAGATATGTTGTGTGCCTTCAGCATTATCTCTGTCAGCCACTCTAGCTTATCTAATCGTGGCAATTACAGACTCATTGCATCAGCTATTACAGAGGTTTACGAAGCTTGTGATTTAGATTCTGTGCATCATTGACTTTGATGGGACCAGCTTATTTTCTTAGAAATAGTGCAATATACTGAAAGAGGCCAAAATTGCCTGCAGTATATTCTTAAAAATGAGCTTTAATCTGATAAGTAGGAAGTGTTGTTTATCATTTATTTTGTTGCCTTCCTTTAGATTTTGAGAGAGGTTTTTGACACTTTGTGTTGTAGATCAGCATTGTGTTTGTCATTGTGTTGTGTTTATGTATAACAGATAATAAATCTTCCAAAGCCACTGAGCTGAGCAGATCAGTTCTGGTCAAAGAGCTCACCTGGACCAAGGCTGAACTGCCTGAGGCTGCTGGTGCAGCTTGGAGTACCTCAGTGAGTGTGGAGTGAGCTCTATAAGTACACCCTCCTAATGGAAGGAGTTGACCTGAACACATCTGATCTGTGATTTTTGATCCTGTTTGGCTCCCTGAATGCCCTAAGTGCCCTGCCAGGCAGCATTTTTAATTTTTACATCATCATTATGTTTGAGACCTACTTCCAAGTATTCCCTCTTTGCAAGCCATCAGGGTGGGTAAGAAATCTGCTGCACCTCAGCTTAACAAGGTCATTGCAGAAAAAGTTACACCATAGCAAATTGATCCCACTTTCACACCTGCTGAACACACTCATCACTAGAGAATGTGTCTGCTAATAAGCAATCTACATTCAATGACCTTTTGCCAGAGTAAAAAAAGAATATAATTTCCATTTGATACCAAGAAAGCCTCAACTATTTTTCTTAAGTGTTTGTGGTAGCTCTGAGTTCTTTTTTGCTATTTTCAGTGAGGAATCTTGAAAACCACAGAACCATGAGTAGCAAAGACATCTTAAATCTCCTGTGAACAGCATTAAGTACACACATTTTATTTTCTACTTGTATATTGTATGCTGGAGGACTTGGCCATTTAGCATACATTTAGCTATTTTTCATTGTAGCTTTCTAGTAAATAGTATACTTGTTTAGAAAAAGAGTATGGCATAGAGGAAGTGTTTTATGTAAAGCTTGTTCTATAAAGCATGTGAAAGGAGCAAAGGTGCATTTTGAGGAGATTCACCTCTGTTACATCATTCCTTGCAGGTCTCTGAACATCTGAGAGCTACTGTTTATCTAGTTTCACTCCCCAGTTCAACTTCCCATATGGAAAGCTGGAGTGATTTTTGAATAACAGCAAGTAATATCAGAAGTGGCAGCAACTCACAACTCTGACACTGAGCTTGGCTGTGTCCATTACCCAGAATCCTCCTGCTCTTCTTGAGAAGCAATTACAATTTCACAGGTTGGAATTAAAATTCCCTGCAGTATGCAGGAGAGTAACTGAAACTGTCAAAGTGATTTCAAGCTGCTAATCTCTCCCTGCTCCAAGAGTGAAAATAGAGCCCCTCTTACCCAGGCACAGATCTGACAACTTAAAAACTCCACCCTTCCACTATGTTTAAATACATATGGAGAGTGGCTTGATCTGCTCACAGAGGATATCTGTAAAGATGTTATGTCTATGAACATTTGTGTGTTATTAACAAGTCTATCTTTTTTAACTTTAAGACGTGTGTAACTTCAGGGACTAAGATGAATATAAAAGAAGTCTTATGCAAGAGCTCTGACAATTTGGAGGAATGAGTAGGCATGAGTGCCTGTTTGTGTGAGGCTTATTAAAATCTTTATTTATGTCTTCTCAAACATGTATTTTTTTGCTAGAAAAATTGCTTGTAACTTTCCCAGATTTTACTTTCACAGTTTTATATCCCACATTATATTTTGTGTGCACTGTGGTTGATTGTGAAAGAAAGAGCATTTAGAAATGAAAAAGCAGAGGAAAAAATTCAGGGGCTGTACAACTAGGGTGCAAAATGAAAAAATATTTGTGCAAAAGCTGCAAAGCAAGTTTGGTCTAGGAGACATGGACCACAGAGTTAGGAATTGGCTGCAAAACACCATTTGATTTGTTGACATGCAGGGTTCATCCACCAGATAATTAAAATCCGAGTCATTGCTGGAAAGTGTTTGTGCAAATATCATTAAATGTCTTTTAGTTCCATATTTGATTCATGTATGCTCTTAACATTCAAGTGAATGCTTTTTTTCTTTAAATTAAGGTTCTTCAGTCAGAGGAAGGGAGTTGAATTATGAATAGTCCATTTTCCTTTTATAGAAGCCAAATACAAAAAAAAAAAAAAAAAAAAAAAAAAAAAAGAAGAATCATGTCACTCCAACTGCTGGTATCCCAGAGTCCCCACCTGGGAAATTTTGGTTATGGAATTGGAACATTAATGCTGTCCAGTAATGTCCCATTAATGGAGTAAGAGTAATATTTACATAACCTTTCAACAGTCTTTGTTTTTTTGGAAGATATTTAGCAATTATAGCCATTCTTCTTAAAAAGTGGTCTTAACATGATGTTTTATAGAGGACAATCTTCCCTGCATGGTTTTTTTAATGCTCGTTGTAGGTAATGGGGCAAACTCCCATGTTGGTGACCAGAGTGTGATGCAGATTTGTTCCTACAGCTTGCATGCTTTAAATGCCCCATCTGTCTTTGGGTGTGAAAACAGGATAGTTGTGCTTAAGTGAGCATAAAATATTGTGTCTACTCTCTTCCTGGGTGGTGTTTGTGGGTAGTGGTGTACAAATGTTAGTTGGCAATGGGTTACAAATTCCAGGAGAAGCTTGGAGATGATAAAACACACCAAAAAGGGGCCGTGATTGTTTGGCACATACTAAGAGTTGGGGTTCTGAGAGAAACTAACGTGATGAAATCATGACACGATAGGAAATTTGACTTCTTGTGGTTAGGATATCATTATAGTAGAATCTGAAAAGTAAAACTTGAATGGTGCTTTGCTGCACAGACACCCTTCTCAGCTGCTCATAACTTGGGTTCCTGTGCTGTGTTGGAGCAGTCTGTTCCACCATGCTGGTACCACAGCCAGAGAAACGCCGCCCACCTCATCCAGCCTCTGGCTGTGATCTGGGCACATGCAGTTTTGTGGAGGAGGGTACCCCAAATCTATCCCCTCTCACCCTGCTTGTCAGTGCACTGTATTTCTTGCTGCCTGGTAGGGGAAATGGGTAAACTGTGGCCAGCTAAGAAACTTGCTCGGTCCAGTGGCACACGGTAAATAATGCACGCTCTTCAGTGGTTGCAAGCTTCAGCTTTTTGTTTGGGTTTTAAGTACCTCCATTCTGCTGTGAGCCTGCATTCTCTCCTACCCTTTTATCCAGCTGCTTCATCCAAGCTATCAGCACCTCATTTTGTTTTATGGAAGATGACATGTCTTCAGAAGAGTAAGTATTAGTCTGAATAAGGTGGCTTCTTCCCTGAAAACAAGAATGCTGCTTCTCCAGTGGAGCTCATTTGCCAGAAGTTTCAGTGCTTGGAATCCATTGTGTTGCAGTGTCTGTCCTTCAGCTGTGTGGTGTCTGTCTGCCAGAGCCTTTGGGTTATGTCAGAAACTCCCATTTGCTAATAAGCAGGATTAAAAGGCCTCTTCTGCTGTGCTCTATTAGTTCTGAACTTGCAAACCCCAGAAATGCTGTAATTCAGAGCAAGAGATAAAACATATCATTGATGTCAGCTGAACATATTAAATTTGATATCCACTAGTGGCTTTATGAGCTATAAAAGTCAATATCTAGAAATCACCAACTACAAGAAGTCTATACAGGAGATTACA